TTCAAGGCCAGCATTTACTAAATAATGAGGCCTATCTCTTCAGGAAAAAAAAAAAAAGACCAGTTCTTTACTTCTAAGTGTGGAACCTGGGTAAAGAATGTACACAGATTCACTCTTCTACTCTACTTTCAAGAATGTTGAAAATTTTAATGGAAAATTTCAACAGTATCTGGTGTGATAGTGTACACCTTTAATCACAGAACTAGAGAGGCCAGTTTGAAGCCAGCCTGATCTACATAGTGAGTTCCCTGTCTCACAGGTAAATAAATAAATAAGAAGATAAAACAAACAGTATTGAGTACTCTGTAGCTGTTATGTTGATTATTTTTTATTCACGTCCTAGAGTGTATGGCTCACTGATCATTTTGTGCCCATTCTCTAGAGCCCCTTGAGTCTTCTGCCTCCAATACAAGCTCAGTGTTAACCTGGTCTGATTAGGGATGCAGCTTATCAGCAGACTGCCCAAGTAACATGCACAAAGGACTGGATTCAATTCCAGTCATCAAAAAAAAATGTTTAATTAAAATCTAGTCATGCCATTCATTCCCTGGTCTTTATGACTTTCATATACTATAAAAACAAAATCACTGGCTGGAGAGATGGCTCAGTGGTTAAGAGCATTGCCTGCTCTTCCAAAGGTCCTGAGTTCAATTCCCAGCAACCACATGGTGGCTCACAACCATCTGTAAAGAGGTCTGGCGCCCTCTTCTGACCTTCAGGCATACAGACAGAATATTGTATACATAATAAATAAATAATTTTAAAAAAAATCACTGATTTACAATGTAACTGTTTACTTTTAAAAAACATACAAAACAAAAATAGGGTCATCAATCAACTAGCAGCATTCTTGCCTCTGCCTCCTAAGTGCCAGAATTACAGATGTGAGCCATCTCAGGCTTTATCCTTTAAAAAGGCCCCACTCATCTTAGCCTCCATTCAGATCACTGTTCTCTTCACTTTCTGCTAGTCCCCAAGTAAGTCATATCCCACCTAGAGCAGTCCCCTAGCACCTGCTGTCTCTCCTACCACATCCCTCATCTCCAGAGCTCAGCTCAGTCTCTATTATTTCACCCAAGAACAGCCCTGCCCTAAAGTTAGTGTGCACACTTGGCAGAATCATCTAGCTACATAAGTCCTATGGCGAATACCATGACTTACTTAGCAAAGGCATACTGTTAAAATTTTGTCATTTTTCTTCGGCTTTGTATCCCTCATACCTAGCACAGGGCCTGGCCTAGACAGAGCAAATGATTAGTAGGTATTTTGCTTGTTTGTTTGCTTGTTTGTTTTTCGGGTTAGGTTTCTGTGTGTAGCCCTGGCTGTCTTGGAACTTAACTCCCTAGATCAGGCTGTCCTCAAACTCAGAGATCCACCATTCTCTGCCTCTTGAGTGCTGGGATTAAAGGTGTGCGCCACCACCGCCCAGCGGCCACCGCCCACCCCACCGCCCAGCGACTAAAGGTGTGAATGATACTTCATTGACCAGAAGGCTCCTTCCGCTGCTGCCACGGGACCTGACTGAAGAGCCTGGCCTCTGGCTTGACAACAAAGCCCCGTGTTTCCTCACCAGTCGTCACCCACATTGAAGGCATTCAGGCTCTTGGTGAAACCCTGCATGTTGGTGGGGCTGACCCTCTGCAGGAAGTCGATGTAGTCCTCCGAATGGAAGCGGCACATGTCATGCTGGGAGGCCTGGTAAGGCTTGAAGACCTGGGGATGGAGACAAAAGGGAAGTTGTTCTTTTGAGCACTGCCTAGGTACTAGCTGGATTTCCACACTGCCCTAATCTTATCTTTGAAAGCAGGACACCTGTGGGGCAGAAGTTTCTCTCGGGAGGGCTAGCCAAAACAGGATAGGCCCAGGAGGGCTACTAGAGTGCCCAACTATGACAAGACCTCACTTAATTATAATCCCACCTAAACACTGAATGATACCATGATAGGTGACAACTGCCATGGAAACAACTAGAAAGAAAAAAAAAAAAGTGGTAAAAAGAGAGAAAAGAGTTCCTGAATTCCCAGAAATATTCTGTCCAGTCTCAGACAGAAAAATAAAAATGAATATCCCTTTTATCAGTCTATTTCTCTTACCTCATTTTTACTCTATATCTATAAATTCTTAATTAAAACTTTATTATATTATTTGTGTGTGTGTGTGTGTGTATATGTAGGTGGGTGGGTGGGGTAGGTAGGTACAAATGCCACAGTGAAGTCAGGGATAACTTAGATGTCAATTCTCTCCTTTCACCATGTGGCTGTCAGGGTTCTCACTCGGATCACCAGGCTTGGAGGCAGGCTGAACCACCATTCTAACCCCTACACCTATAACCTCCTGGTTCCTACGAGTTGAGAACGTTATCTCCCACTTATATTTGTGGCCCAAATAATAATAATAAAAGTCTGTTTCACTGCTCATTTGACACGTGGTCTTCTTACTGGTTCCACAATTCCGGGAAGGGGACAACAGGTCTAGTTTGGATGAAACACCTGACAACAAACCCAGGCAGTGCTCTACCAGTGCCTGGGCTGAGACCACTCCACCATGATTCCAGCCCTGGAGACTATCCAAAACACATAAAACAATCTTCCTACCCCATCCTTTGTTACTCTTCGACAACTCTGAGTGAAGAAGAGATGTTATTCTGGGCAAGCTTTTTTTTAAAAAATTTATTTATTTTTATTTTATATGCATTGGTGTTCTTCCTGCATGTATGTCTGTGTGAGGGTATCAGATCCCCTGGAACTAGAGCTACAAAGCTGTGAGCTGCCATGTGGGTGCTGGGAATTGAACCCCTGGTCCTTTAGAAGAGCAGCCAGTGCTCTTAGCCACTGAGCTATCTCCCTAGCCCCAGGGCAAGCAACTTTTATCAAGACCCCTGAAGAGCACTTCACCTCCTTCCTCCCTGTAGCCCAGTTTCTCCCCCCTTCCCAGCTCACTTCTCCTGGCCCACATGCCTGTTCCTAGCTTTCCCAGTCGTGGGTCCCTCTAAACTCATCTCTTCTCTCAAACTCAGATTCTTTTCTTGGGGTTTTTCACCATGGGATCAAATCTATGACATGTATGACAATCTAACTAAAATCCAAAGTCCTAAACCAAAGATTTATTATCCTTAGCGGGAGTAGAGGTGGAGACACAAACAATGGTTTGAATATTGGCCAACGCTTTTTCTTTCCTACAAAATGGATAAAAAGGACACACAGATAATTTTAGGGGGTTCACAGACTTGCACTAATACCACCTCACTCTTTTCTACACCCAAACCACTCCTGTGTCTGATTACTTGTTGAATATCTTCACGGTACATAAGGGCCAGGCTTGCTATTGTCCCATTTCACAGCTAGAAATTCCAAGCTGGAGAGAAACAGTACCTGTATAACATGGGAAATAGAGAGTTGGGCAGAACCATATAGATACATCCTATATTAAAAAGTAAATTCCCACCAGGCAGTGGTGCTGCACACCTTTAATCCCAGCACTCAGAAGTCAGAGGCAAGTGGATCTCTGAGTCAGAGGCCAGCCTGGCCTACAGAATGAGTTTCAGGACAGCCAGGGCTACACACAGAGAAACTCTGTCTCAAAAACAAAAACAAACAAACAAAAAAGTAAATTCCCAGAATATTCTCTACACATATACACCACAAAATGTAGAGTTGTCCTTTCAGGTAAAGGACACAGGAGAAGGAGCAGGAATTATGGGGAAATCTCAAAAGAAAATATATTCCCAACCCTCATCTTCAGTTCTGCACCGCTATCCACTCTACAAGACAGAGGGACTAGAGGCATATTTAAGTGGCAAAACACTCATTTAACGTGTGAAACCCTGGATTCAATCCACAAACACGTAAACGAAATAAAACGAGAAGGAACAAAACTGTCTTCAAAGGGTCCCCCTAACCCCAGGCCAGAGGCTGGTCTGTCCTCAAATTAAAAGGGAGCGTCACCTAAGGTCAAAAATGTGTCTCCATTAAGTCGGGGAACACCCTCCACTCAGTACCACCACCACCACTGCACATAGGGAATATCCTGCTGCCCCTTCTCTAGGGGTAGGTTGCACCTGATATGTGCAGTCCACCTAGCCTAAGGTCGGTGGCCCAAACCCCCACAGAAGTGGCAGGACTCACGATCATCTTCTTATAGAGACCATAATGCAGGACTAGGCTATGAGTCAATGCCAGGCGATGGGGCTTCATCGGGTGCCCAGCTCCTGGGGGCAGGGAAGGAAAGAGTTGATCAGTTCCCACCCCTAGACTTGCAGCCCTTCCCGCAAAACCTCTCTTTCCGCACAACCCTGTGCCCTACCGTAGTGGAAGTTGCCCACATCGGGGTCGTAGAAATAAGCCACCGTCTTGGCCATGGTGCTGGGGGACCAGGCCCGGTGCCTCAGCCGCCCGACCGCCGCCGGCCGCCAGCCCCACCCCCGCCGTGCGTGCTGCGCAAGCACGCAGCTTACCACTGCGGAAAGGAGCCCTCGGCCCCGCCTCCCTAGAGCACTCCGGGCCACGCCTCTTATAGGAGTCCCGCCCCTTATGGGAGTCCTGCCCCTCGCTTTGCTGTCCTGGCCCGGGTTCTGAGGCTTGGGTTCTTGAGGCTTGCGGGGGGAGCCGTGGCATTATTCATAAGATACAAGGACCGTTTCTTTTTGGGTGGGGGTCATATCCTCGGGAAACAGAGTCATCCCGTCCAGCCGCTAGCCCCAAACGGATCTTGGGGCAATGGTCCCTCTCTAGGAACCTCGGAAGAGCTGGCCACCCTGCCCCTCTCAGGCGCAGAAAGCCAGCTTTTCCCAGTGCGCTAGGAAGATTTCCACTCGTCCGGGAAACGAGTTAGGAGGGCAGAACCTGTGCCAGTCGTGAGGGTTAGACCGGTGGCCACAGCCCCTCCTGACCTCCCGACCACCCATGAAGACCCAGACTTGAGCCGCACATTCTTCCTCGGGGGGGGGGGGGGGGGGGGCGGCGCAGTCACGCGCACATCTCACTCACACGCGTAAGGCTCACGCTCTCCGCCCCGCACACCTGTGCTCCGCCCCTTGGTCCCGGGCCCGCGACGCGTGAAGGCATTTGGGAACCCGGGACAGTTTCAGAGGCGCCCCCCTATCCCCTCCATTTCCCAGGCAGGCTCCCAACCGGTCCACATCCTCTGCCATCCTTCCCTCCCCCCGTCTGCCGCGGCACCGGTATCCGCAGCCACCAGCCCGGAGCCGGTGAGGCGGCAAAGGGGGGAGGGGGAGGAAGCAAGGGATGAGCTCCGGGAGGGCATCGGGGGCCCTGAGCCGGACGAGGACGCCCCTGGAACCGGGACCCGAGCCAGAGCCGGAGCCGGAGACAGAACCAAACCACCGGTACCGGGTGGGCCAGGTGGTCAGGGTGGGAGGAACCGAAAAAGAAGGGACCCGGGAATGCAGGGAGGGATGGGGGCTGCACGAGGCCTGGCTCAGGCTGGTGTAGAGGAGGTAGCAACACTGACTCAAACGTGTTTCCTGGGCTCGTTGTCTGAGAATTTCGTCCCATCTTGTGCTGCAGTGTCCTTGGAAGGGACGGGGGCGCGGGATGAGCTGTAAAGGATAGCTGTCTGTACGTCAGAAAAGTGGGGCTGGGGTGCAGCAAAGGGCTTTTGTAGATGCTGTCTGGCCTCCAGCCTGGGGCGGTTTTAGCCAACCAGCACCCTCAGTACGGACAGCTCCTTGGTTCGGTAGGGGGTGGGGCGGGCCTCCTATTGCGGATCCTAAAATGCCTTCCTACTCTGCGGGTACCCAGCTGCAGCCCACTAAACCCAGGAGGCGCCCTGGCCCGCGCTCGTCCCCCAGGGCCTCATGTCGGAACCACAGCCTGGCCTGGAGCCACCCCAACATGGGCTGTACATGCTCTTCCTGCTTGTGCTGGTCTTCTTCCTCATGGGCCTTGTAGGCTTCATGATCTGCCACGTGCTCAAGAAGAAAGGCTACCGCTGCCGCACGTCTAGGGGCTCAGAGCCCGATGATGCCCAGCTCCAGCCCCGTGAGTGAGGATCCTAGAACCCTGATTAAGGCCCCTTCCTTCCTTACCCTTCTCCCCCAACTTTTTCCGGCCTCCCTGGCCGACAAACCCAGCCCAAAAGACAGCTTTATGATGCTTTTTTGAGTCTTGCATGTAAAGTGAGTGACACCACCCCGAAATCGAGGCTAGAGAAGGGGGTCCACTCATGGTAACCCTAGGACCCCATTTCCTCTCCTACCTTTTCTAGCCTGATGCATGAAGGCATATAGGTAAAGGGATACATTTTCAGCCATCCCCCCTGGGGCCATCAGGTCATATTCCCCCAAAGCTGACTCATTTCCCACTTCCTTGCCAACCTCTTTCATCCTTCAGCTGAAGACGATGACGTGAATGAGGACACAGTAGAAAGGATTGTTCGCTGTATCATCCAAAATGAAGGTGGGTATAGGCCAAAAGCTTGCTCCTTCCTAAACTGTCTCTTGCCCTGACCTCCACCTCCACTGATTGCTTCTCCCTCTCCTATCAGCCAATGCTGAGGCCTTGAAGGAGATGCTAGGGGACAGCGAAGGAGAAGGGACGGTACAGCTCTCCAGGTGAGCTGGAAACCTTGGAGTACCCGCTCTAATACAGTTTTCCCAAGTACCATGGGAGTTGGGGGAGAGGGTGGACAAGGCTAGCTAACCTATGGGAGAAGTTTTATAGAAACCCTTGACACTTTATTTCCAATCTAGATACCATGCAGACTAGCATTCACCTCTGGTGTCACTTTCTTTGGTTAAGCATTACTCTCCTTAGTAACCAGGGTGGAAAGGAAGAATGTGTGACCACTCATTTCTTAACACTGAATTTACTCAAGACAAAAGGAGTTGGAACCTGGGGAAGGTGGGGTTTGGGGAGGATTATGTTGAGAGAACAGAAGAAATGGTAGGAAGGGAAATGGAAATCTCATTTCTGCTCCATTCTGCTTTCTTCCTGTGGTCCAGCGTGGATGCCACCTCCAGCCTGCAGGATGGAGCTCCTTCCCATCATCACACAGTGCATCTTGGCTCTGCAGCTCCTTGCATCCACTGTAGCCGCAACAAGAGGCCCCCACTTGTCCGTCAGGGTCGCTCTAAGGAAGGAAAAGGTCGCCCCAGGCCTGGAGAGACCACTGTATTCTCAGTGGGCAGGTGGGGATACAGTGGTCCAAGAAAAGGGAGATTAAGTTGGTGCCCAATACTTTCCTCTGAATGACCGAGCAACTGCAGCAGGCATCAAGCTGTACAAAGTGTCTGTCCCACAATCTCAGAAGGCCTCCCTACCCAGGCCATAGAAGTTGCCATCAACCCCAGGGAGGGAGGTTTAGGTCACCTTTGGGCTGTAGTCCTAAGCTGCATTGTTCTCTTCCCACCCAGATTCCGAGTGACACACATTGAGAAGCGCTATGGCCTACATGAACATCGTGATGGTTCTCCTACAGACAGAAGCTGGGGCTCTGGTGGGGGGCAGGAACCAGGGGCCGGTCAGGTGGCTGCAGGAGGGCAGCCTAGGACAGGGACAACTGCTACTGAAAGGCTGCTCCCTGAGGCACCACCCTCCCAGGCTGTAGCCACCCACCCAGTGCAGAACGGAGGACTCAAGGATGACAGCCTAGTCCCTTGTACACTTGAGGGAGCCCCTGGAACCTCTGCAGAACTGAACTTGGGCACTAGAGGAAGAGGCCCAAGTCCAGAGCTGCTTAGTCAAGAGGCAAATGGACAGCCAACCAAACTGGACACCTCAGGTCAGCAGGTATGAAGACATGGTCAGAGATGCATTGGGCAATGGTGGACACACATCTTCTGTCCCTATGCTGAGCAACACTGATTATCCACCTCCTCTTCCCAATGAACACTTCCCCTTCTCTCAGGAGTCTCTACCATCAGACGCAGGGGGTATATGAGGCGAGTCTCCCTGAGCTCGAGATCAGGTAATCTCATCCTCTCACCTTCTACCTAAACCACCCAAACCCATCGACTCCCTGAGACCCTGGGGTGAACTACAGGCTTAGTGTGTGTTACAGAGTCCTTGGCTGGTGGTGGGGAGTGGGAGTGGGCATAGAGGTTCTCCAGGAGTTAGAAATGGTCTCTGGAGAATTGGTCAATCAGAGCTCAAACAGGAAGCAACAATGTCCCCCTTCCTTTCTTCCAAGCCTCAGTCTTCACTGTGCTGATGGATACCAGCAGGCATTGCCAGGGTATGGGTAGCCATGAAGGCTCTGCCCTCCACTGGACAGCACTGCTCCTCAGTTGAGGGACCAGCTCTACTTCTATCCGGAGTTACATGGTCCCAGGCTGAGGGACCTCAGGAGGAGCCGCTCCCAATTCTCAACCCCTCATTCTTTTTCCTTTCCCTACTTGCCAATGGGTTGCCTGGCCTGCCTTCCCCAAAATCTCGCTCCACATGCAAGAGCGTGGCAGCTGGGACCAGGCCCTACCCGTGGTGGGCCCCTAAAGCAATAGCACCTTAGGCCCCCTGCCCTCTTGGCACAAGAGGCCCAGGCCCTGGCTTGGACTTCACGCCCTTTATTCACTGTCAATAAATCCGCTCAGACCATTACAGTTGCTTTGCATCCTGGCTCCAGCTCCTTCTGACTTCCAAGACCTGCTCTTCTCCTGGCTCCAGGCCTGGTGACCCCAGCATTCGGGGTGGAGTTGGCCACAGAGGCAGGGTGAAGACAGAGATGAGCCAGAACCGTAAAATGCTTTAAGGAATGGGTACCAGCCCCAGAAATTTTGGGATATTTTACCACCCTAGATATGGGGTGATGGTAAAAAAAAAAAAAATCAAAGGGGTAGTTCCGGCCCAGAGATGACAGAAGAACAATGTGGGAAAGGAATGGGTTCAAATCCCAGAAATGGGAACAGGGCCAGCTTCTACCCCTGGAGGCGAGAGTGGACATGGGGGAAGACTGCAACTTTTGCCTATGTCGCTCCAGATCATTGCAGGGGTGGTGTCTGTCAGCATGGAGATAGGGGCAGCAGCATCACTGGGGGGCAGTGACCCCCCGGCCTTCAGGTGAGGGGATCTGGATGGCCAGGATCCGGGGCTTTGGCTGGTGGGGGAGGTGGTGGACGCATCTGCAGGGGATATACATAATCAGTGCCCCAGAATTCCTCTTGGGAATATCCCTGTCCATTACCTCAGCCCAGCATACAAAACAGCACCCATAGGAATGACCCTTCAGGACAGTCTTCTCCAAGACAGAGGCTCTTACCGGCCTGAGTCGAGGCACCATCATGTCCAGAGGTCCTGGGCAGTCTAGGACTTTGTCTAGAAATAGAAACCGAAAGTCAGTTCTCAAGCTTTGTTGAGCTCCATGCTGCATCTCCAGCACTTAGGATAGTGATACTTTATAAATACTTGTTGACTTGGCAAAAAATAATCACCGGCCTGAGCTATAAAATCCATTAGTCCATCCATCCTCACATACTTAATGCACAACTGCTCTGTACAAAGGACCAAAGAAAGGGGGCGGAGTACAACAGCTCCCCTCGAAGTGGCTATCGAGAATCCCATATCACACACATGCACGCACAGAGGGGCGCAGGGAGCACATGCCCCAATGCGACCTTACTCAAAGTGAAGTAGGAGTGGCGGAAGAGATGAGACTGACTATCGTCAGGGCATGTGACTTGGAGAGATGGACATACTAGAGCATATCAGAAAAGCTGAGTATTTCATGGTGAAAACTAGGGGGCTGGGGATAAAGGGTAGATATGCTTGCCTAGCATGAACAAGATCCTAGTTAGATCCCCAGCACCCCAAAAAAATATAGAAATTAATCCAAAGATAAATACTATATCTCAGAGTTCAAGGATACTAAGAGGAAAAGGTACGTTTTAGGAGAATGTAAGACCATGAGAAAAGATAGCTAATTTTGATAACAATGATCTAAAACATCCATGTTTCCTATATGCCAATCACAATGTTGTATGCTCTTTTTTTTCTTCTTCATTTTGGTTTTTCGAGACAGGGTTTCTCTGTGTAATAATAGCCTTGGCCGTCCTAGAACTCACTTTGTAGACCAGGCTGGCCTCTGACTCAGAGATCCACCTGCCTCTGCCCCCCGAGTGCTGGGATTAAAGTCATGCACCATCACTGCTCAGCGATGGATACTCTTTAACAGACATCTTGGTTAACTCTTTTTTTTTCTTATGTGCATGAGTGTTTTGCTTACATGTATGCCTGTGTACCACAGGCATGCCTGGTGCTCACTGGGATCAGAAGAGAGTGTCAGATCCCTTGGGACTGGAGTTACTGATGGTTGTGAGCTCACATGTGGGTACTGGGAATCAAACCTGGGTCCTCTGAAAGAGCAACAAGTGCACTTAAGCACTGAGCCATCTCTCCAGCCCCTGATAATTCAATAAACCAGTGCCTTGCCCTTTACTTTCTAAAGACTATAAACCAACTAGGCTAGTGGCTCATACTTCTAATCGTAACACATCAGGAAGGCAGAGGTGGAAGGAGTGCTGGTTCAGGGCTAGCCCTATCTCCAAAGACTAAAGTATAACAACAGAAAACCTAGACCAAGTATAGATTTGACTGTGAGAACAAAGGTTTGACTGAGTGAATGCTTTCGCACAATGTGAGAGAGGTCATCCAGTCGCCAGTACAGTAAGATGTTATCTCAATGAATGATTTATACACCGCTGGGATATTTCAGGATAAATCCCATTCTAGAAAGGAGGAAAGCTATGGCTTCACAAGATTTTTATAGACTTGACAGCCACTATTCAAGAGATGGGTGTTCCCAAAGCTCTGCACATCAGGTTCCTCGTGGGAATACACTCCCATGAGTTTGTCCAGTGATCTGTCAGATGTACTTTTACTATAATGCTAGTGGCCCACAGCAACCAAGGACCAGACAGGTTAAGCCTTCTGCCTCAAGTCATACAATAAAAACGGACTAAGGGGTTTGAACCTGGCTCCAAATCCAAGCCCTCCTCCTGGACAATATGCCATGGACCTCTTACTGCAAGGTACACCCAGGGTGCACCAGAGCAGGTAAGGCAGAGTCCAAACTTCATCCTTGCCATTACTTATGCTCCAAGACCCCAATTCTCTCTACTCACCCAGAGGCAGAGCAGGTGCAGCGGATCCTTCCAAGGCACAGGTGGGTGCAGGAGGCGAAAAACTGGGAGGAGAAGGGGATGGCAGCGTCTGGAGACAGGGTAGGCAGACAGTCATTCCTGGTCCATGGGAACATTTAACCAGCGTTTCCTCTCACCCCACTCTCAGTTTCTCTCCCATTTATTCTCAGTACCAAAAGCAGCCAAATGAGGGTTGTAACGGATAGATATTTCGGTAGCCAGTATGTACTGAATAGTTAGTATGTGCCAGGTATGTCATGACAGGGCAACACAAATTCAAACACTTCTTGTGTCCCGTGGGGCTGAGGAGTTTCCCTCTGTCATCTCTAGTCATGACAGTAAGCCTGCTAGAGCAGCTGTTGCTTCTGTCCTATACACGAAGAAAGCAGCTCAGAGAAGGTAAGTAACCACTCAAAGTCATGCTGTGGCAATCTGTACTCAGGCCTATCTGGCCCTAAAAGTCCCAACCTTCTAGGAAGGGTGTCTTGGTTTCTCTTTTCCCTTTCCAGTCACAGCACACAGTGAGGACTAAGCTACCGTAGGAGGCAAACAGAGGGAGGAAACAAAGCTTTAAGATTAATATGGAGCATTGTTGAGGTGAGGTGAAAGGGTCACCCCAGAGGTTACTGAGAACTGAGGGAGAATGAAGAGTCACCTGTTCAGGGTCAGAGAATTCAGGTGGCCCTGGGGGACCAAGCAGTTCCTCTACCAGTAGAGATGGGAAAACTCCAACACGGCCCCCAAATTCTCCCCTCCAGAAGCCATCATCCACACCGTCTTGAGCCCTGGGCAGCAGGCGGATGAGTGCCCCTTCAGGGAAGCTTAGCTCCTCTTCACTCTGCCCAATGTAGCTATACAGGGCCCGGGCCAGGAACGCTACAGGAGCCCAGGAGAGAGGATGAAATGAGCAGTAGGCTGTGGTACATTAGCTCTATGCCACTCTACCCACAACCATCCAGAAAGCTGTATCTATCTATACCCATGGTCCCTGAATCTGTAACTTACTTCTCTTACCTGTGGGCTCTGCTCCTGAGGGATTGCTGCTGCCGTGGCTGCTCTCAGGAAGGGAGAGATCCGGGAAGTTGAGATATCGTTCAGGGACAAAGCCCGCTTCGCCATGCTGGTTCCGAGCCTGCTCACCCAGCAATGTGAACAGGTATCAGACTTGCTCAGCAGTCCATGACCTTGGCTCTTTGCCACTCAGGTTTCTGGCATTACCTGAATAAGCCTCCCACTGCCCCCAGTCCAGGGTCCCATACTTACCTTAACCCATTCATCAGCATCTCCTTCCTCGATGACCTCCAGCCACTCACCCTCGGTGATAGTCAACTCATCCTCACGTCCTGCCTGAGCCCCACAAGGAAGGGGTCAAGATTTGCCCCACCCCTGCCCATTGCCCATCTGAAGTTTCTATACCCATTCACACCTGGTAGCCAAATACCACATGAGCAGGGCAGGGGAGGGATCTGGTAGCCAGGGCTGGGGGGGCAGGCTCTTCAAAGAGCTCCCCAGCCTCCTCACATTCATCGAAGTCAGAAAGTTCAGCATCCTCAGCCTGGAGAGGGTAGAGGACAGATACTGTCTCAAATACTGCATGGGTCTCCCACACGCCTCTCTTATCTCTAAGGGACACTGGGAATCCTCCGTCAAGGCAGTACCCCTCAACCAATCACCATATCTCACAATCAAAACCACCATAGGGCAGGATGATACTAAATAGTAGCAACAAAAACCATTAGGTGCTATATATGCTTCATTTAACTTCAGTATAACTCACCACTGTTTTGTATAACTATATTAACCTCGCTTTACTTATGAAAAAACAGGATCACAAAGGTTAAGCCATCTGCCAAGACCACAAAGCTATTAAGTGGAGTGGCTGGCATTCAATTAACTTACAGACTGCTCCTAGAACCATGGTTTATTTTATTCATTTTACTTATTTTTATTTTGGATTTTGGTTTTTTCAAGACAGGGTAGCCCTGGCTGACCTAGAACTCGCTCTCTAGACTAGGCTGGCCACGAACTTACAGAGATCTGCCTGCTTCTGCCTCCCAAGGGCTGGTATTAAAGGCGTACGCCGCCACCACCCAGCAGAACCACGGTTCTTTTGTTTTTGTTTTTGTTTTTTTCGAGACAGGGTTTCTCTGTGGTTTTGGAGCCTGTCCTGGAACTAGCTCTTGTAGACCAGGCTGGTCTCGAACTCACAGAGATCTGCCTGCCTCTGCCTCCTGAGTGCTGAGATTAAAGGCGTGCGCCACCACCGCCCGGCAGAACCACGGTTCTTAATCACAATATCAGAAGTTTATTGAGAAACTAGGCAGTATCATCCCAGCCTCATAATAATCCTCTGAATTAGATACTGTGATTCCCATTTTCAATGTTCTACCTCCTAATAAGGAATTTTAGCCTCCCAATGTGTATGATTAGGGAAAAGGAGGAACTTACCATGGGAGAGAGATCCCTCTGGGACAGCCGAGCCTCACTAAGCCGTCTCTCCTGCTCCACCTCTTCCTGGGCTTGGGTCATGGCTGGCTTCAGCCAGCACTGTACATCTAGGCCAGCCTCCTGTAGCAGGGCCAGCCGGGCAGCCCCTTTCACCTGGCTCACCTGGTGTGAGGACGAAGAGATAATACCCTGGCGAGCTGTGTCTACCCTCTGCTTCCCTCTTTTTCTCTACCACAGTGGAGGTGGGTTAGATGAGGAGGCAGGGTTTCAATGGCTCTTAGACCAGGGCTGGGACTCACCTGTGCCCGTCGGATGTTCTCCCGCACTTCCTGTAGCCGCTGTTCTAAGCCTGGGGCTTCTCGCTCTGGAGCCTGCTGACGCCTCTGTTCCAGTCGCTGCAGGACCTGGTGAGGATGGCAGAGGTGGGTGGAGATGCTGTGGGCCAGAGCTTACTCTGAGCCCAGGACCTCGCTAGTTGCATCACTTGCAATGTGTCACCTACCTTCCCTGTGAGGTAGGTATTATTATTGGCTCCATTTTAGTGATGAGGAAACCAAAGTCCAGAAAGATGAGGTCATTCCTTACCCAGACTTAGAGAACTCACAAGCAATAGCAGAGAATACAAACCCCAGTCTGTGTAGTTCTGAAAGCTGTGCTCTAACAGCTGAATCATACTGTTGTGTTAAAATTCCTTTCCCTCCTTCCTGACTGCATCAATGGCCCCCATCTCTCAGCTATTCTTACCCACCCCCAATACCTGCACCCCCACCTCACCCGATGCCCATGATGCTGGATCTTGTAGTCCCGGGCAGCCCTGCTTGTCCAACGCTGAACCTCTTTCTCCAGGCCACTCTCTCCAACCATCCCTTCTGCTCCCCGCTCCAGGGCACACACCTGAAAAAGCCAAGGAATATTTGAGAAAAACAAAACAATTCTATCCTTCTCATCAGTTCCTTTTTCTTCTTCATCTTTTTAAAATTCTGTTTTAGGTTTATTTTATTTTGTGTATGAATGTTTTCCCTGTGTGTATATCTATCTGCACATCACATTTGTGCCTGGTGCCCGAGGAGGTGGTGAGTCTCCAAGTGCATGCTGGGAATCAAACCCAGGTCCTTTGCAAGAACAACAAGTACTCTTAGCCACTGAGCCAGCTCTCTGGCCCATTCCTTCTTCATCTTGATCTCCAGTGTGAGGGACAAAGAGAATGGACTGAATGCCTTCGTCTGTGGACAGAAGTATGTACTCATGTAGAGACAGGCCCAGGAATGGAGTCAGAGTCTAATGGAAGAGGTGGAATGAGGAGAACAGGGACTGAACTTTGGACTGAGGTGTGTTTGTGTTCAGACGGAGGTGAATGGGATTTTGAAATCCCCTGTCCAAGGCTGAACTACCAGATCGATACCAGAACAAGGACAATGAGACAAGGGGTCTAGAGCATACTTACGTTTAGATCTGGCCTGTTTCCACAAGCACGGTGGTCTCACCTGATCAGCCCCTGCTGGCTGGAATTGCTGAGGTGGCGTGGGGGAAAAGACTCCAGGCCCCTGAAGAAACAGCTTCACATCTTGTTCCCAGTTTACCTAGTGTTGGATAATACAAGTCACTCACTTGCCACCCACCCAACCCTGTCTCCAGACCTTCTTGGAAGAAAGGTGAGCACTGCATTGGGTGGGAGAGGGGCTGGATTCCAATGAAAAAGCATAAAGCATCACTAGGGAGCACTCACAGCTCCAGTCCTCACCTGAGAAGTCACCTGCCCCCCATGGTGGGCATGTTCCAGGACCATCTCTGCAGCTTCCAGCTCCGTGTGGCTTAATAAAGTGAGGGGGTCCCTCAAGTATTCTGACAGCTCACTTACCAGGACCTGGAGAGAACCATAAGGTACCATGATGTATTAGGTGCATACAACCATTCTCCCAGGCCTCTAGTACAGATTATCCATCCATGGATAGGGCATACAAATGAGCGATAGGAGGAGACAAGAAATAAGACTGTTTCTGGTTATACACAGTCACGTTTAAACCACTTCATAGTTTAAGAACTTCCACATCCGTTCCCTTTGAACCTCATCAGTGTTATGATGTGGGCAAACTGGGATTAACTCTGATGAGGAATGTGGAGTCAGATGTCTAGCATGACAGAGCCACCAAGAAGCAGAACCAGAGCCCACAGATGCATCTTCTATTCACTCTAAGCACTAGCACTGGCCAGCCTGGGAAGAAGGAGAAACAGGGGTGGTGTCTGCATTCACTGAGGACAGGAGTAGTCTGGATGAGTACTGGCCTTGAGCAGGGATGGCAGTTCCTCTTGGTAGTAGTGGGCAAGGTGAGCATTGGTGGCCACCAAATTTAGCAGGTACTCATTGCGGGCTGCTCTCAACTGCTGGGAATACTGGGCTGACTGGGCAGACAGCTAGGGAATGGAAATAAGAGTCAGCAGGGAGCCCTGAAGCATGGGAGTCCTTCCAAGGCCAATCTCAAACCCAGAACCAGAACAGATCTCACATTACTGAGTGTCTACTACATGCCTGGTGCTACACCAAAACCTTCACATAGAACACTGCCTTAAAAACCCTTACATGGCATCTGCATGCATCGAAAAATGCAAACTGTGTCTTACCAGACCTCACAAGAACTGACCACTGAAACCCTTTCCACGAGTGTGTCTTGTTCTCTCAGATCGTTGAGCCTAAGTGACTCCTCAGCTTTTGCACTCACCATTCCTCTCCTCAGTAGGTTCCTCCCCCAGCAGCCCCCTCCTTGGCACTCAGGCCTCCTGCTCCGTGAGATCTCCCTTCTAAATCGCACCCAACTATTACCCTTCATCTGACTATTCACATTCTCTCTGAGGATGGAACTCCATGAGTCCTGTTCTCACTCCATCCCCAGGGGTGGAGTATTGCCTAGCACGTAGAGGTGCTCAAGAATCACAAAGAAAGGGACAAAGAAAGAAAAGTATTGTTTCCACTATACAAATGAAGAAAATGAGGGTCAGAGAATCCAGGGAGCCACCTGACGGGAGTGCTTACCACATGCCTGCCAATGAAGCACTAGGAAATTTGGAAACCTAGGTTCAACCCATTCTTACTTTTATGCCACTGGACCCCCAAATACTAGGCTATAAATGCCTGTATTCCCCCAGACCTTGGTGCTCAGTTTCTGGAGGCTGGTCCGAGAGTGGAAGATCCCGTGGTCACTTCGGTTCAGCCTGTGCAGGCAAAAACAGTCAAGAGTCAAGCACAGTTGGGAAATTTTGATTCCACCCTAATACTCCTCGCACCACACTTTGTGTGTCCTCGGACATCCAAGAGCCCACCTGGCCTGGACATCAGCTGCCTTCTCCTGTGCCAAGGCCCACACACGTTCTCGCTGCCCATAGAGCTTCCGACTTCGGCTCAGTTCCCGGATGGACTGCAGCACCTCAGCCTGTGCCCGCTGAAGACTCTCTGTCCCCTAGGGGCAAAGATACACAGCACCCTGACCCAAACCATGGCTCATCCTATACTGGAGCTTCCTTTACACCATCCACCGAGACATACCTTCCTAAGCACCTGCTCCTTGGCACTCCTCCCAGTGCCCCCTGCTAGGTCACGGTATCTGTCAGAAGCCTGGAGCCGGGTTTGGCCTCCAGCCACAGTGGCATCCAGAAGGCAGCGCCAGGCACCAAACACTGTCCTGCTCCTCCCCAGAGAAGGTATGTGTTGAAGAGAGAAACACTCCACTGGTTCATGAGACCCCTCCCAACCCAACACCATGAGAGACAGAGTGTCCCCCCGCCCCCCAGGAGCCCATCAATCGATCAGTCCATTAGCTCAGCCACAGGATCACTCATGCCTTCCACCCCAACCCACAGTGTCCTTGCTGGGTCAGTTCCTCTGCGGCTGCAGTGTCAGCTCTACCTGCAGCTTCTGTGCCTTCCCCTGCTCATAGGTCCTCACTTCCAGACGGCTCTGGGGCTGAGCTTCCCATCACCTCCAGCTCTGAGCGACTCACCTGCTGTCGACTTCCCCGCTCCGCTGCCCTTCCCTCTTCAGGAATGGCCCAGCCAGCTTCTGGAGTGCCTGACAAGAAAACCACCATATCTTTTATGAAGACCCACCCCAACTGGGGGAGAATTTCAAACCAGGGTCTAGGATACCACCCTTGGGCTATACAACATATACATTTCCAAAATGCCTTGTATTCATTAATTCATTTAACCCTTATAACCATGTGTGGAGTTTGGGTATTATTGGTACTATTCCCATTTTGCAGAGGAAAAAAATGAGGCCAAAAATACTAAATAACTTGTCCAGGGTCATGCAGATAAGTAAGTAGCAGAGAAGGGTTTGGCACAAATCTCACAGATTCTAGATATTTGTTCTTTTTAAAAAATTTTTTGCAAAATCATTTGTTCTAATCAACTCACAAATTAAAAAACATTACACTGTTATTTGGTCTTGACCACAGTTAAGAGGGGAGGGCACTGCTGCTTGTGAAAAGGAATCTAGAACAAGAGGGAAGGTCCAGACAGGAGTCCCATACCTGGCCATACTCCCGTTCAATGGCTGCCCTCTGCTTGCTGTAGGATCTGTGGAGGTTGAGAATGAGTGGTTACTGTTTGCTCCTGTTCTCCTACACTCAATCCTCCCCTCAGCTTGAGCAGGAGGAAGAGGAAACCAGCCCAGAGAGTGACTACATCCAGAGGGACTGGGTCTGAAAGATGAGTCCTTGAGATCACCTCTGGCAGCTGCAACCCAGGTCAGCTGCACCTTACTGCTCACAGCCCCAGCAGGATCCTCCCACTCCTGGAGGACCAACTGTGGGCCTGGAGGTGAGAGAACTGAGAAGATTCGGTGTCTGCCAGACTTCCAACAGGTCTGGAAGAGGAAGGGGATTATGTTCTGCTTTTGATTGTGGGGGTGAGGAGAGTGATCTGGGGTCAAGCCGTTTGAGGAAGGGGCTCTCTGTTTATGAATATAGCCCCAATATCTGAGGAAGCAGGCCTAAGGTGAGGGTCATGAATGGGTAGGCCAGCTCCGTCTGATAACGCCCAACGCTGGCAGATGGAAGCCGAGGAAGGAGTGGCTCTCGATCCTGTGAAGATGGAGTACCGTGAACGTGAGGAGTCTGGGGCTACCTGATATCCTCCAGCAGATCCGCCTCCCTCTGTTGCCGGGTCTGAAGGATGCTCAGCTGCTCCAAGAAGCGAAGTTTCACCTCCTGGGATGGCTTCACCTGTAGGATTAAAAAAGAGATGTAGATCCCCAGCCTACTCCGGCGTGGGGACCTACAAAACACCATACAGGGAGCGGTGAGGGGGCGGGGCCCGAGAGAGGTTGGGCTATTTCCTCGGTTTCTTCTGTGTTAGGCTTTGACCTCCTTGCCACTCCCTGTGTTCCACCCCGAGTCGAGTGTCCGTAGGCTCCCTCCGCTCCCCAAGACCCCCAGGAAGTCCTCTTTCCCGGGCAAATCTCACTTTTCGGGGCGGCGGCTGCATCTCGGATCCAGCAAAGGCTGCCAGACAGTCCACTCCGGAACTCGAGGAGGCCACGCCCACGACAAGGCCCCGCCCCGGAGTTGGCCCGCTCCGCCCACGCTCGTCAAACTGCGCGCCGGGCGCGGAAGCACACAGGGGCAGCAGAGGAACTGAACCTGTTATTGCTACCACTACCCCGGAAGGGTCCCGGCCGCGGGGCGGACGCAGCGTGCGCCTGGCGCTAGGGAGAACCTCGGGCTTCTGAGTCAAGACGCCTGGCTTCTATTTCTAGTATAGCCACTGATTCAGCCTGTAATTATTTCTGGTCATTCATTTACATATGCCTATCACCACTCCCGACACTAAGTGAAGACCAGGTGACCAGGGAAACTGAGTCACTGGACACCTGAGCGAAGATGCCTCTGACAAAGGGAGATACCTTTTCCTAATCCCTGCAGAACTGGAAATGCTAGCGTGAGAGGGGTAAGATGTACGCCCGGAGCCCGCAGAAACCAGTACAAAGGAAAAGCCGGGTACATCCCGGGCTCCAGTAGGCACTAATGGTATCAGTGAAGGGGTGTGTACCCTGGAAGGCCCTGTCATCATTTTGGGTCTTTATGCCCCCCCAGTTCACCAATTTTAGCGTGGTGTGTGTGTGTGTACACGCATGCCAGCGTAGATCAGCGGGACAATCTTGTGTGTTGATCTTTGCCTTCCACCTTGTTTGACACAGGGTTTCTTTTGTTTTTCTTCTGTGTATGCCAGGCTAGCCAGCTTACAAACTTCGGAGGATTCTACTAGCACTGGAATTACAGGCGCTGGCACTACAAGTCCAGCCTTTTATGAGTTCTAGGGATTTGAACTCTGGCCTTCACACTTACATAGCAAGCACCAGCCCCATAGTGTTCACTAAATTTATTTTACCCCGCAATCCCTCCATCAGTAAGATACAGGTTCTACTGCAGAGCACACACGGGGTGGGAGGGGTGACATTCCTAGTAATCTATTTCCCTCAAATTCCAAGACCACCACCCCACTCCAAGACTTTAATTGTTAGTTTTCCGGTCTGATATCCAGACTCCTTGCTTCCTGCTTTTTCCCATAACCCACTTCTCCTATGGTGGCCAGTGACTGAAAAGAGAGTTAACATCATTTTATGCTTAAAATGTAATTGCTTCCCAGGAAAACCCAAGTGCCTACAATCCAAATAGAATAGAGGCTACAAGGATGTGATGATTGGCCCCTGCAAGAAGCATTATCTTCTCTTGTCGTTCTTGAAAGAAGAGACACAACCCACAACAACCTGAGGAATTCCTCTAGACTTTTGTTTTTGTTTTTCTTTTTTTTAAAATATTTATTTATTTATTATGTATACAATATTCTTTCTATGTGTATGCCTGCAGGCCAGAAGAGGGCACCAGACCTCATTACAGATGGTTGTGAGCCACCATGTGGTTGCTGGGAATTGAACTCAGGACCTTTGGAAGAGCAGGCAATGCTCTTAACTGCTGAGCCATCTCTCCAGCCCCTGTTTTTTGTTTTTCGAGACAAGAGTTTCTCTGTGTAGCTTTCGCTGTCCTGGAACTGGCTTTGTAGGCCAGGCTGGCTTCGAACTAACAGAGATCCACCTGCCTCTGACTCCCAAGTGCTGGGATTAAAGGCATGTCCCCTAGACTTTTTAGGAGATCTCAACTCAGTCCAAACAGGGATCCGTGGCTTTGATATTGAAGGGATTTCAAGACCAGCTGGTATAAGGAAGCAGAGTTGGAAATTTTATTCAAGATATTTTAATATAGGTTAAAGCACAAGAGTGAAGAAGAAAATCCAATCAGAAGAAAGTAAGACACATTCAAGTAGGAGAGCTGGTGGTATGTGTTTCCCAAGGGAGCATAGGGGAAAGAGTATTTGTACCCACTTGTGGATATGGGCTCCTCAAGGGAGTGCAAGCAATTAATTTGCCTTAGCACTAGTCATGTTAGTGGTTCTGGTGGTTTTGGTGGTTCTCAGATTACATCTTTTCCTTTGACTTTTTTTTGTTTTGTTTTCTGAGACAGGGTTTCTCTTTGTAACTGCAGGGGCTGTCCTGGAACTCACTTTTGTAGAACAGACTGACCTTGAACTCACAGAGGTCCACCTACCTCTGCTTCCCGAATGCTGAGATTAAAGGTGTGCACCACCATGCCCAGCTCTCAGATTACATTTTAAAGGATTGCTAAGAAGTCTTTTTTCTTTTCCTTCTATCTCTTTTGATAAGAGAGACAGAATTCTAAAACAGTAAAACTCAAAAGCCACTAGAGCTGCACAAAGGATATATTACACATTCTGTCCTTGTCAATGGAAGTTTCAGTGAAATTCCTAGCAGGTTTACAGCTGGGAAGGGAGAAAGGCCTCAAGCAATTAATGGTATTGGGGTTCTTGCTGTGTCTCTTGCAAAGGCTTTAGCCAGAAGCTCTGATGAAGGGTTCCTCTCTGCCTTCTCATATCCTCCAAATTTTCCCCTGTTTTTTTAAACTTTCTTTTTCTTTTTTTTTTTTAAAGACTTCCAGGCAGGATTCTTTTTTATTTATTTATTTTTTATTATGTATACAACATTCCTTCCATGTACGCCAGCAGGCCAGAAGAGGACATAAGATCTCATTATAGATGGCTGTGAGCCACCACGTGGTTGCTGGGAATTGAACTCAGGACCTCTGAAGGAGCAGTCAGTGCTCTTAACCTCTGAGCCATCTCTCCAGTCCTTAAATTTTATTTTTCAAGACAGGGTTTCTCTGTAGCTTTGGAACCTGTCCTGGAACTAGCTCTTGTAGTCCAGGCTGGCCTCGAACTCACAGAGATCCACCTGCCTCTGCCTCTTGAATGTTTTTTGAGACAGAATGTAGCCTTGTAGCCTTGAGTCCTGGAACTTACTCTGTAGACCAGGTTGGCTTTGAACTCAGTGACCCACTTGCCTCTGCTCCCAAGTACTGGGACCAACGGTTTGTGTCACCATGCTCGCCTTTCCCTATCTAGTCTCTCCTGCTACCCAGCCTCTGCTCCAGCTGCTGCCATCCGCCCACCAGGCCAAGGCCTCTCCTGCTGCACTGCACATGACGCCTGCTCCTGCTGCCTGCTCTTCGCGCTCCCCTTATCCAGTTCCTTGCCTCTGTTTCTGCTCCTAGAGCTTTCATTCATTCCCACTCACCCAGTGTAAAGGTCCCATCCACATCACTCAAGTTCTCACTTAGATTCTTTGAAATGCCAAACTCACCTGTGTGTATTTTCTTTTTTTATTTTGGGTTTTTAAGACAGAGTTTCTCTGTAGCTTTGGAGCCTGTCATGGAACTTGCTCTGTAGGAGCTCACAGAGATCCACCTGCCTCTGCCTCTAGTGCTAGGATTCAAGGCGTGTGCCACCACCGCCCAGCCTGTGTGTATTTTGTTTCCTTTCTTCAGGCTCCACGTAAGAGCAAGAACCCCGTTTGTTCTGTTTATATTGTATTTGGCACCAATTAAATACTCAGTACTTATTTGTTGAATGAATGAATGAATGTAGATGAAAAATGACCTTCTTGGTTCCAAAGTTTATTAATAGAGACCCATTCTTTTTTGGTTCCCCTTTGCCCCAGCTCCCAACTTCAATCAGTCACCCCACTCTAGGGCCTAAGGGTTTCCAGTACATGGAAAGTGAATAAGATAGATTTGGACCTCATGCATATCTCTAGCTTCCAAATGTATGCTTTTCTTTAATGCAGTACAACAGTCCTTATTCACCACACCTCTCACTGAAGCACTGTATCAAATATATAAAACAGGAGCTGCTCTTATTAAGGGAAAGTATTAGGGCTTATTGCTCAGAAGCATAATTTGCTGTTTGCTCCTCTTTTATTTTAGTGACTTCATAGTACAAATAAAGGGGCTGAGCCCAGAAAGGGGCCATGATCATCCTTGAGACACAGTCTCAGGTCTCAGTCCAGTGCTCCTTCCATGGTACCATACTGGATTCCAGAGTCATCCATCAAGGGCAGAAGAAGCCCCCCGTGGTGTCTGCCATGGTGAGCGCCTGACTCCTCCTCTGGTTACCTACCTCCTCAGCTGCTGGCCCTAGGGTCATGTGAGGGGCTGGCTGGAGGGTGGGTTGGTAGTGCAGGGAGTTTGGGTGGGTAAACTGGGTGCCTGTGTTGGAAGGCTAGTCAGGCTGGGGGTTTGGGGACTGATGGGCTGAGAAGGACTTTCTGGACATGTAGCAGGCTCTCCCTTCCTCAGGATGAGGTTGTTGAGCTCCTGCAGCAGCTGTTCCTCCAGGGATCCCCGTGCCTGAGGACTGCTCTTTGAATGGGGGCCTGGAGAAGAGTCAGGTATCCTCTCCTCCTGGCCCAACATGTTTGCTTTGGAGAGGGGGGTTTGATCAAAGGACCTGTGGCTGGCAAGGGGCGACTCTGCCTTGGCTGTCCACTCCCATGTGGAAGAGAAGGCGGTCGTGTCCTTGGTAAGCTCAGGGAAGGCCCCGACCTCCTCATATACTGGCTCTTCATACACAGGCTCCTCCAGCTCATCTTGTTCCTCCACAGATCCCTGGGGTGACTTCATTGGCTGTATGGGAATGGGACAGCCGAGGATGGGCACAGTGTTAGAGTTACGGTATTATTAATCCTTGATCAAGTTCTTCCTTAAGTCAGACACTACAAAATACTTGACATATATGATGTCACAACAACCCCATGCAAGTGGGTCAAACTGCAAGACAGTGACATGCAGAGGGGTTAAGTTGCCCTGAATCACATAGTAAGGAAACAGTAGTTGGTGAGGCTTCAATCCAGATCTATCTGGCTCCAGAATGCATTTGCTTAAACCCTCTTTCTTTTGTTTCTCAGATTTGTAGTTACTTTCTCCTTCCCTCATTGTATCACCCCTCACTGTCTTCCTCTGTTACTGACAGCCTACCTCAGAACAGACACATAGTGCACCAGGGCGTAGGCAGCGTGGAACACACACAGGAATAGACACAAAGCCAGAGCAAGCACAATACTCACAAAGAACATGGATAAGGTCCTCCGGTTGTGTAGCCGCCGCTGGACATAGGTGGAGTGGGGAAGAGGGGAGGGAGAGACAGAGACAAAGTAAGACAACAGG